TATAAGACGCCAGAACGCGTTCTTTTGTTGGTAAATTGCTTACATCGGGGAGGGGGGGGGGGGTATAAATTCTCTAAAGCTACTCATACTGTGCGCATGTGCGGTATCCACTGTGATTCTCGCATTGGTTTCACAATCTATGTTACTAAAATGCATTAGGTGCATTAACCTCAAGCGGTAGAAAACATCACATGATATGATACTTTCAAAGTGAAGACATAATTTAAGGACGATCTTTAGTTTCATGTATAGTGACAGCAATTGAAAGAAATGCTTGAATTGTTAGTTTGTTTAAGAGCAAAGCCACATGGGACTATCTGCCGTGTTCACCGCAGGGAATCGAGCTCTGGATTTTAGCGTTGTAAGTTTGTATGCTTATCGTTGTCCCACCAGGGTGCGTAGGAAATGCATCTGTTGCTTCCACAAAGCTTCATTCAACCCATGCTGAGTTCCAGTGATATCCAAACATTCAGTTTTAAAATTAAAATAACACATACGAACAGATGTTTTGAGCGATGACAGTGTATAACACCTAAGATTGGGGTTTTATACCAGAAACTTGCTCATTTAGCTCTAGTAAGAACTAAACCTTTCGCTCAGTAACATTGCTGTCTGTTCCACCCAATCAGAATACGAATTTAGTTACCATTTGTATGTAGTAAGCATATACTTTCAAACATAAAAATTTTCGAACGTATTCTGCTTTTAGAATGCTCTCCAAGATGGAAAAACAACCGAATAAGTTACTCATCTATAAATTATTATAAATTACTTCGATTTTGCCACTGATTGTTATTACTCTAATAAGTCCGACCTCAACTATGGGCATGAGTCAGAGTCGAAAAAATGGTCTTCGTAGCACACGGGACTTGCTTGCTTTCTACATATAAATACGACGCTCCTCAAAATATTGAAGTTACTTTAACTTACGCCATGTTGGGAAAATGTTCTTGAAATTTGATTAATATATTTGAATATGCAGAAAGTTCACAATCACCTTTTAAGGGCCTGGTTCATTAAAGAATGGGTTAATGTGACCGTATATGTATCAAAACTGTAGTAGTCCTCGGTGAACGTAGGTGACCTTTTTTCAAGTTTAAAGGACGTCTATTGTGGGAAGAAAATTAGAAAAAACTTGACATTAAAGTACATATTTTATGCTTCTACTGCTTGTGCTGTAAAACTACACCGTAGTGGTTCTCAAAGTATGGTCCTCGACTCACAGGTGGTCCACGATGGTCCTTCAGGTGGTTCGCGAGCTGATCCAAAATGCAAGTCACTAAAGCGCAACGCCACGCCTGAAACCATACGAGAGATCAGAACAGGTGAGATACGACCGGTAGATGGTGCGTGGGGTCTTTTGCTCCGTCGGAGTGGACATAAAAGTTTGAGAACCACTGAACTACAAACTACAAACTCAAGCTAGTTCATATAGTATTGCATTTCCCCCTTTAAAAAAAATGCAAGAGCTACCAGAACCTCCGAATAAAATATAAAATGGCGTTGCTGTTAAGTTTATGCCTTAAAACGTTTATTACGCATTTTAGTAAGTTCCTTGCAGTTAAAGGATGCATGTAAATATATTGTGAAATTTTCAGTTTAAAACAACTGAGTTTGGAGCACGAGTTAACCAATAAAAGATAACTTGTCAACACGAATATAAAAGTCTGATGTCAAAACAATGTATTGTGTTTGGCAATGTATATCTCGGTCGGAATATATTTTATTAAAGTGACTTAATAGTTTACTCACTAACTGAAACAGTTCGAGTTATTACAGTAATTCTGAGTTACGGCTTGATCATCCTATCAAAATATTGTCCAAACCGAGATGTTAGTCATAAACAAAAACACAAGAAACAATTTTTTTAGTTATTCTATAAATGAAAATAATCGAAATACGTAGTATTTAAATATCGTTATGCGTATTTATCAAAATTATTTGTTTTTTTTTGTTTCAACGCAGAGGTACACGAAGAACTATTTAGGCCGTGCGTACTACGGGAATTGAACCCTGAAATATATCGTTATAAAATCTGAAGCTTACTACTGAGTCAACGGTGGGCATTAAGATGATGACGTCAGCTGCGTGGGTATAACCTAACTAACTGAATATATATATATATGTACATAGATATGTGGATAGATTTATTTATTTATAAGCGAAGAATAACTCCAAAAATATTTATAGAAGTGTTCCGTTTATTTGTTAGTGTCATTATGATATATATATATATATATGTTTTTTCTTATTTTTTGGGTACTATGAAATACTTCTTAAGCTGCACATTCGTTTTTGAGTAATTGTATTACAGAATCAAAACATCTGATCAACCTGATGATTGAAAATTATCTAAAACGTTTTCTAATTTTTTCTACTACAGCTTCCTTAAAGTAAATATATATATGTTGTCACCAGCACGTTCAAAGGGAAATGAACCTATGTTGCGTTTTCAGATTGATTGTTATATTTCTTACCCTATGAAGTTTGTGTCATAATGGACAAATATTCATTAAATGTTTTCAGACTGATTGTTATATTTCTTACCCTAAGACCAATGAAGTTTGTGTCATAATGTGTCATTAAATGTCTTTGGATTATAGTAGTTCTGCACATGCAAATTTGTATGATGCGCTCGTATTTGTTTGTTTGTTGTTAAGCGCAAAACTACAGATTGGACTATCTGCTGCGCCTACCGCGAGTATTGAAACCCGATTTTTAGTGTTATAACCCATCAGACTTGCCACTGAGCCATCGGGGGAAGAAACGATTCGCTTATAACCGAAAAGATTATCGAATTCTAATAATAAGGCAAGTTCCACTTTGAGGTCTTAGATATTATTCACATTAAAAGTCTCGTCTACAGATACATTATATATGTTTCTCACATGTTCAACATGCTAACAGTCCTAGCGTGGCCTAGTTGGTAGCATACCAGACTGGTGAATCTTAAATTCTCAGTTCAAGACACACTTTGCACTTTCAGCTGTGGGTGCGTTATATGGGTGGCCGTCAGTTTCACTATTCGGTTAAGAATAGTCACTTTAGAAGGCGGGTGCTGCCATCGGGATGCTTTTCTTTTGGTCTGCAATTGAAAATAAGGAATCTCTGGCCTAGCCGTTTAGCTCAATGTGGTGTGATTAAGGTGTCGTTCAGCTGAACAAACATATGATTTTTATTTTTATTAAAGAAAATAGGTGTCAGTATTTGAGAATTTACAGTGGGTGGGGGAGAATATGACGTCATGACATGTTTGGGTGCTAAAGCGTTCTCCATTTTGGTTAATTCTCACTTTTAATCTTAGTATAACTAACATAACTAAATTATTCGTCTAATTTGTTTGTTTGTTTAAAGTTAAGCACAAAGCCACACAATGGGCTATCTGTGCTCTATCCACCACGG